TAGTAAACTACTGTAGCAGTTGGAAAGTTACTGTTGCAGTCGGAAAATATTCAAAGTGGTCGGCATGAAATAAAAACAGTAGGGGTAGGATCGGAATTACTAGAAGACCCAACTGTTCTGAAGGAACTTTTTCAAAAAAAGGCCGGAAGTCAACTTTTTGAAATCACTATTCACGTCGGAAAAATAAAAAAGTGGTCGAAATTTGGTGTAACCTGGATGGGTAGGCTCGGAATTGCAAGGGAAACAATTTGTCCTGAAGAGTCGTCGCCAAAAAATGGCCGGAAGGTGGCCCACGCAACGTTGGAACTTTGCCGGAAAATTTTCTTTGGACAGNGAAAATATGATATATTGATATTGTTTGTGATGCAATACAAGAGGTGCTATTTATAACTACTCTATACAAAGGGGATACTACCCCTATTCCAATGTGGGACAATTACATAGCTATCTCTAACAATATATTTTGTTGAACATAATTTTATTTGATAGATATTGCAACATACACAAGTACAGACACTTATTACAAAAAACAATACGAAAACAAAAGACTAGGTGTATCCTTGATAGTTGGGTACATTCGACGAACTTGCACCAGGAGCTGGATTACCACCGCCACCCACACCAGCTGAAGGACATATATATATATATATATATATATGTTAGCATTGTATGTTAGCATAAAGAATAGTATGTTAGCATACTACATACTACATGAAGGTAGTATGTTAGCATTGTACCCAAATTTTGTTTCCATTAATTGCCCTTTAAAGCACATTGCTATTCTTTATTAGTGAGGATATTTTTGTCTTTCCACCAGAAAATTTTAATACCAAATAATCATTTGGTCTCTATCCTCTCCTTTTTTTTCCCCATTTCCCGGCAAATTTCTCCAGTCAATTTCGTATATCGAATTGCGCCGTCCATTTTTTCTCCTCCGATATCTCTCTTTCTCCGTTTCTTTCCTCCATCATCTTTTGTTGTGCTTCCATTTTTTTATTTTCCTTCAGTCATGAGTAAAGACAATAGGGGTTGCTCTGATGGTAAGCAACCTTCACTTCCAACCAAGAGGTTGTGAGTTCGAGTCTCCCCAAGAGCAAGGTGGGAAGTTCTTGGAGGGAAGGATGTCGGGGGTCTATTTGGAAACAGCCTCTCTACCTCAGGGTAGGGGTAAGGTCTGCGTACACACTACCCTTCCCAGACCCCACTAAGTGGGATTATACTGGGTTGTTGTTGTAGTAGTCATGAGTATAGCCAAGTGCTTCAAAAACAAATTGAAAGATACGCATATCAGATTTGCAATTCTGTCAGTTCAGTTTCAGACTCCGGAATTCCTTTCTTGTCAAATAACTTTCTCTGGTGAACTCATTGTCCTTTCTTTGTTTCACTGTGCCACTTCTTTTTCTGGGTATACTCTCCCTTTTTTCTATCGTAATAGCAATTCCAACAACCATTATCGTTTGTCAGATCTCCATTCGAGCCACCATCAGTTTAAGTTTTCAACCAGTAATGGGACCCCAAGCCTGAAACTGGTGTGATTGCTATTCTTAAAGTTAATTTCGCCAGAATTTTTTGTTCACGACAGATCAAGATGGAAACGAAAAGGGGAGAAACTAAAGGAGAGAAAGAGATTCTTTAGGCCAAAAGTACGAAAATAACCATGGAGTGGTAGAGTGACAAAAGCAATTTAATGGGCAATTAATGGAAATAGAATTGGGTACAATGCTCTATACACACACACGCGCGCGCGCAGACGCGCACACACAAAAATCATTTTAAATGACTTTTCCTGACTGATGCCAAAGGTACAACTCACTGAGGAATATGCTTTCCGAGTATGGTCTGTGGAAATGACAAACTTTCATCCTTGAAGCTATACTTAAATTCCTGTCCAAGTTGGATGAGATATTGTTGCTAAATTCTGTGGGTCCCAACAGATGGAAGTTGTTCAATGCAACTAAGAGAAGAACTGGAAGTATTTATGACCCATATCCATTTCGGTTACTAGTGGGCCTCCTTTACAGCTCTAGACAACCAAAGTTCAACAGAATTAATCTATGCTCAACCAAGAAAAAGTTTTTTTTGTTTGATAAGGTAAAAGTTTCAACCACGCAAATGTTTGATCAAGCCATGGTCTACCTCAGTAAATAAATAAGGGAGATATCCTCCGGAAGAGTGGCTCTCATGATTTAGGGACAAGTTCCCTAAATTTATTTATGTAGCGGATAATACTCCTTAAGCTGTGAGGAAAAAGTAAGTCCTGGGTCAAAGAGTAGGGAATATTCCATCTCCTGAGGGTGACAAGCATCAAATCGTGGAAGGCTACCTTTTGCTTGAAGATTAAACTAGTGAACGATAGCAGGCACAATTAGAATGGATACTTCAATGAATATCCTCAGCATTCAAAAGACTCATGAGCATCTTCAACACCACTCACCAGAGGGCTCACAAACATGGAGTTGGAGAGGTGTACAGATACGTCACAAACTGTTCATGTATACATAATTTAAGGTATACAGATACGTCACAAACTGTTCATGAATATAAAAAGGCAAAAGACAAGAAGACATACAATTGTAGATTGAGAAAACTTCTCACTGACTAGAACACCACCAGGCCCATTACCCTTGATGCTGTAACCATCTCTCTTGATGGCCAAGGTAGCAGGTTCCCATATATCAAGATATCGTGTCTGTACAACCAAAAAAGATAGAGCAAGGGAAAGTGATAGATCAACCACAATAATTATTTGTGATCATAAGAAACTGAATAAGGCCATCATGATATTATCCACACCTAGAAAATCACAAATTTCCTTACCGACAATGAAACTTTATACGAAGCATGACCACTATAAAGGGTTTTCTCTATGCAACTATGCATTACAGGATCTGCAAACATGGAAAACAGAGAGTTCATACAAAATGACTTCAAAGTATGTGGAGCAACCAAACAAAAATTAAGACCAAGCATCCCCGGATTTTAGCTTTCCTGTATATTGTGATTCATGCAAATATAAGACAGGAAATTTATTTGGCTCATGAAATCGTGACAGTCCACACAGGCATCACTAAACATGTAGGTAAAAGTCCAAGGAAAAGATTTTAGTCACCCCAAAGAAGTGTCATATATTGCTATCTGACTATATGAATAGAGATAAGTTAGAGACTGGCAGAAGGTCAGTGGATTTTCCCTCCACAGAGCTTAGTCCTTAGAAACCACAACTATTCCCAGATAATAAAATAAAGGGAAAGAGAAAGAGACAGCTCGCAGAATGATGGATAGATCTAGACAAATCTCCCAGTATTACCCCAAGGTTGTAGCATCACTTGCGAAAAACAAGATCAAGCAAACTCTAAATAGGGTTCTTTTCACGTTTCTCTATAATCGGTATGAAAAAACAGATCAAGCAAATAGAATATTGATCACTTCAGAACCCTGACAAAGCAGCTATGAAACTGACTGAACCCATGTTAACCACATAATAAATTTCAAAAACAATCCTCCCACCATCTTGTTAAATAGTGTTGGAGACAATATTAAGTAAATAAAATGTGCACTCTCTAACAGTTTAAACTTTTATACGAGAAGGACATACACTTCAATGTGGTACCAAAGCAAGCAGAGGTCAAGTCTAACTGCCGTCCATTATCAAAAGGAGTTTTAGCGTGCTTGGCTCATGAAAAAGAAGCAAACCCACACATGAGGGGGCGTGTTGAAGATGTAATTACGTCAATAAAAATATGCTCTCCAACAACTTAACCTTTTAGATGAAATGGCCACACATTTCAATAAACAGAAAGCCTATCTTTCTCCTTCTGAGATGAATGATGAAACATCACCAAAGAATAAAAAAAGAAAAAGAATAAGAAACTACTGACAGATTAAGCATTAATTCAAGCTTGCATCCTTAAACATTTATTCAATATCGTGAGCTTTCAAACTCGAAAATCCACCTTTCATGAAGTAACATGTTTGCTCAACATGGAGAATGATAGCAACAATTCTAAGGGGTTCGCATATTTGTCTCCTAGTATTGATGGAAAGAATATCGACTTCTGTAATTTGCAAAACAGTCAAAAGTTTCAAATATTGGATGAGAATCGACTTAAAGTACCACAAGTGATCTTCCTATGCTCATTTGCAAAGACCTTCACGAGTTCACCCTGATAATCAAAAGAAGAAAAGTCATTGCAGTATTTCCCTTCAAGATAAACCTAATAAAAAGAACAGCTTTTTTCATTAGAAAAAAACAGTTTTTATAAATAAATAAAACCACATTATTTTTGCAGTCTTCCTTTTTTTATTATTTATACTAAAATAAGCACCAAAGGATGTTTAGAAGCTGCAAAGTTGGATGTGAATGGTTGCAGTTTCACCCTACACCACAAGGTGCATGGCCTTCTTCTTCCCCCCCTCCCCAACAAGGAAAAATTAAAAAAAAATACAAAACGGCCATACACGAAATATATTATGTTGACAAAAGGCTTGGAATTTTTTTTTTTCTGATAAAAGAAAAACAGTAGCAAGTATGCCATCTCAATGAAAAGCACTAGAAACCATATGCCCTCCTTGCTATTTCAGGTGACAGACACTTCCATTTTGGAATGTTGAATAACATAGAAGACTTCAATGAATAACGAAATTTTGAGCTTTGGCAACTCTCGGTATGCTAATATCCCTGAGCATTTCAAATTAGCACAAGAAAATTCCTTTTCCTTTAGCAACAACTTAACACTTCAACATCCAACTGTAAATTGATACTCCCTCCGTTTCAATTTATGTGAAACACTTTCTTTATTAGTCCGTTCCAAAAAGAATGACGCATTTCTCATTTAGAAAAAATTTAACTTTAAAATTCTCATTTTACCCTTAATGAGAAGCTCTTACAGCCACACAAATATTACGACCCCATAAAGTTTTTAACCTTTAAGTTTTTAAGACCACAAGTTTCAAAAGTTTTCTTTATTTTTTCCTTAAACTTTGTGCTGAGTCAAACTACATCACATAAATTAAAACGGAGGGAGTACCTTATTCCATCAACATAAAAATTATATTATGCCAATGAAATTAAGATGAGATGGAATACGACCTTTTCTCAAAATTATAGGTAAAGGTTCATTGTTTTGCTACCCAGGAAACATAGATTGAAGCAGAAGATCAATAATGAAAAAGGGATAACACATTTTAAAAAAAAACTTGTAATTGTCCCGAATTTCAAATTGTACACCTGAACTTTGTGGAGGTCCTACGACTACTCCCCCACCCACAACCCCTCTTTGACCGAAGTAGTATAAAATACCACCTTTTCTGACCAGCACCAATATTAAGGAAACATTATTTTTAAAACCACCAGCAAAAATTTACCTCTTTATATTTTCCTCTTTTCTTTTTCCTTTCTTCTTTTTTGCTTATCTATGCCAGAAGCATGCAGGTCGAATTGTTTCACCGACAAACAACTACAGCGGATAGTCATGATGCATGGATGATGCAGAAATGAGGATGTTGAGGTGGATGTGTAGGCACACTAGGCTGGATAAGATTCGGAATGAAGATATTCGGGAGAGGGTGGGTGTGGCTCCCGTGGACGACAAGATGCGGGAAGCGCGACTTAGATGGTTCGGACACGTGCAAAGGAGAAACCTAGGTGCACCGGTTAGAAGGTGTGAGTGGTTGACTTTGGCAGGTACGAGAAGAGGCAAAGGATGGCCTAAGAAGTATTGGGGCGAGGTGATCAGGCAGGACATGGTGCGGCTTCAAATTTTCGAGGAAATGGCTCTTGATAGGAACATGTGGAGGTCGAGCATTAGGGTAGTAGGCTAGGGGGTAGTCGAAAGTTCCTCCCTCTTTGTACCGAATAGTCTGATAGAGTTTTGTTTAGGTTTGTTAGCGGTCTATGTTGTGTTCACATTGTTGTTTTGCATAGTTGTGTGTATTGTCCTTTCACTTATTCGTTATTGTTATTTTTTTCTGGCATCTTTTGTTGTTATGCCTTTTCTCTTGTTTATTTTCTGATATTATTGTCTCTCCTGCTGAGCCGAGAGTCTCCTGGAAACAGCCTCTTTACCCTTTTCAGGGTAAGGGTAAGGTCTGCGTACACTCCACTCTCCCCAGACTCCACTAGTGGGATTTTACTGGGTATGTTGTTGTTGTTGTTGTTGTTGTTGTTGTTGTTGTAGTCATGATGCATGGAGATGGGGAACGGAGGTAAATGGTGTTTTATCCATTAAGTCCTATTATGAGAAGCTTCTGATTAGAGAGGAGTCTGGTTTTCCACATATTTCAATATGATCCTAAGGGTACCGAGAAAGGTGTATTTTTTTCACTTGGCTAGCTGCAAAGGGGTGATACTGATGGCAGATAATTTGAGGAAGAGGAAGATTACATGCATTAATTGGTGCTTCATGCGTAAAGACTCGGGAGAAGATGTGGATCACCACCTTTTACATTGTGAATAGCGTCTTGTTTATGGCGGAGAAATTCTGAGATGGTTCAATCTGAATGGGTGATGACGGGCACTGTGAAAGAAACTATGTTTAGCTGGGCGTTTAGAAGACGAAGTCACGGAAGAGAAGATGCAGAGGCATGGGATGTCGCTCCTCTAGCACTTACATGGAGAGAGAGGAATAGAGAGCTTTTGAAGGAGTAGAGAAAGACTTTGTACACTTGAGGAATAGCCATTTTTTCCTTGCTTCCTTTTGGTGCACCCATGAGATTTCTATTTGTATAGATGATTGGTGCCATTGGTTAAAAAACCAAGTTCTTTTGTAAGGTTTTCTATTTTATGCTATACTTCTTGTATACGGACACATTTCTGCCATTTCCTTTAAAAAAAATTTAGCTTATCCAAAAAAAAGGTGTGCTGGTGTGTGTAGTTGATCTGAGCAATTCTGGCGGTATCAAGCTTAGATCAACAGGAGCTTCCCGTTTATCCATGTTAGCTCTGCTGCTTCATATCCAACGCTCACATTTTTTTAAGTCGTCACACCACCTTCCTCTTCTCTCCCTCAAAAACAATCACACAAAGACCCACCAAAAAACTAATTGATACCAGTTGCACCAATTTGCCAAGATTTGACCCAGAAGAGGTTCAGACGGTCGAAAACTTTGTTGGCCAAGTTGAAGTTGTCTATTTCCGGTGACAAAACCACATAAACAGAGAAGATAAAGAAGAGAAGAAATACAAAATAGAAATGATCGGGGAGATCCTGGAACAGCTAGTAGAAGCCAAAATTCTTGTGGAAAGTTCGAAGTTCATCACCACCCCCCAACCCTCCTTTTTCTGCAATTTTTTGTGGTTTAATGGTGAATATATGTTGTTCAAGTTCAACGTCCATGGCCAAAACAATACTCCACTTTAAGAAAGGAAATATGGAAGCGACCTTAAGAAACAAGAACTGGAAAGTTGGGCTCCAGCGATGACATTTCTTGTGATCTTTGAACTTTCGCGATCATGAATGACTTTCGGTGAACTTTCGAGTCTAACAATTCTGTATGGAATGAGGAGCCTAGTAGAATAATTTTTAGTTTAATTATTCTTAGAATTGTCCGTTCATTTTGCTAGATTGTTTTGTTTTCTAGTTTGGGGTAGAACTGGGGCGCAGCAGGTGACAGTGTGTTTTTATGAAGAAGAAGAAAGAGAAAAATGAAAAGAAAAAAGAAAGAAAAGGAAAAGTAAAAGATAAATAAAAAAAGTACAAATGGAAAATGAAAATAGATTTGGGGCAGATTTTTTTATTCTCACGTGCTAGGAGTGCATGCAAAACATTGTAGGTGCCACATGGGCTCAAAAGGTGGTAAGGTGGTACTTCTACCACTTCGAACAAATATATGAGGGTCATAGGACCCCCGCGAAGTTCAGGTGCACAACTGGAAATTCAGGTCAAGTACCAGGGTTTATTTATTTATTATCCCAATGGAAAACGAGAATAGATTTGGGGCAGATTTTTTCATTCTCACATGCAAGGAGTGCATGCAAAACATTGCACGTGCCACATGGGCTCAAATGGTGGTACTTTTACCACTTCGAACAAATATAGGGCCCGCGAAGTTCAGGTGCACAACTGGAAATTCAGGTCAAGTACCAAGGTTTATTTATGTATGATCCAATAGAAAACGAGAAGGGTAGACCAAGCATCTGGAAACAAATCATAAGAAACAAAAAAGATGAAGTCAAATCAAAATTTTCCACTGTTTTCTTCCCTTTTTCCTTTACTCAAACCTCGCCCTTTTCCACCTTTCTGCCTTTTTCTATTCCTTCCATCCCAAAAGAATGGCAGAGCTTCGACTACAAAGGGTATCTAATTTTCAGCAAGAATTCAGACACTGATTTCTTAATTTCTTAAAAAATAAAATTGATACTCAGAAACTACGTAAAACTTACTAAAATCACAATTCTATTAAAAGAATTAAAATGTTTGAAAATTTTTACTCAAAGAAAAAGTTATCTGATTTCACAAATAGTAATTGTGCAAACAAATTAGGATGGATGAAGTCTTTTCTTCAGAGCGCGGGCGCGCGCGAGGCTGATTCAATTGCAGCACTTACTGTAACAAGAAGAGAGCTAAGTTGCTCGGGCTTTGGTGCGGGTGTCCGATATGGGTGCGTATCTAGAGGTTGGATCCTTCAAGATCTATCTCTAAAGATTCGGAGGTACGGATACGGGTGCGAAAATTCGGCTAAAAACAATTCAAATATCTAAAAATAGAGTTATAAAAATGTATAGATTATGAGACATCACGTGGAAACTTACAATGTGTTCCAAGAAGGAGAAAATAATGATCAAGAGGAGATCTGAGAAGGAGATAAAAGGAAAAGGATTGAAATAGAAATTTCTAGATACAACGTATTCCATTTTCTTCAATTTCACCTGGCTTTTGTTTTGATTTCTTGTCCCGGATTTCTCCGTCGAATTTAGTCAAAGTAACCAAAATTGGTTGACTAGATCAGGTACAAATCATACACCCACATCGTGTTCGAAATGGGTGCAGCATCGAAAGTAAAGAGTCCGAGCAACTTAGGAGGGAAGCATGGAGGTTTGATACAAAGAGATAGCAAAGGGTAGCAGCAGTACCTTCCGTTTCCGGTTGTCCAATGGCTGGACTTCAATGGCAAGGTACGTATCAACGTCATCAGCGGTGACAAGGTATGTCGGTTGCTTTGCCCCTGTCACAACAGTGCCACGTGGCCTCAAAGGAGAAATAAAACAAAACAGATATGTGAATTGTTTAGTGACATACCCTCTATATAGTTGAAAGATCCATCCTCCAAATGACGAACCCACTGCAAGTTCAAGAATAACCAAAAAGAAAAAGTAAGTTTAAACAGAAGGCTAATAATATACAGCATGAAAGATCAAGTGATAAAAGTGGAATCAAAAATCAGAAACAGCAGGAAAGGAAATGATTGAGGAAGGAAGCTAGAAAGGCTGAAGCACGAAACACCTCAAAATTGCAACTGGTTGTTCCATTAATAGAGTAGCCACAAGCTTGGAGTGCCTGTCCAGGATAAGCTTCACCAGAAATTTGGAGACCCTCTATTGCAGGCAGTGCCTCTTCATCTGCGGCTGAACAATGCTCAAGTTTAGGGCACAGTAGCCAGCATAAGGTCTGACCTATTTTAACAAAAACCTAAATTGGGGAACAACACAGTTCTCCAACTGTTTTCCTAATCTGGTAAGACGTGGACAGTATAATAAACCCTGCAGTGAAGCTTATTTGATTTCACATTTCACTTTAACCTTCTTACCCATCAAAAAAAAAACATTTCGCTTTAACCTTCTTATCTAGAAGGTTCCATTTTGGTTCAGTTCAATGGGCTTCTGTTTAAATTACATTTCTCAGGTCTCTCTCCAGGTTTTAAAAAAAATAAGAATAACAGCAATCAAAGGCACTAAAATTTCACCTTCCGAATAGGAGGATGAAGGTTCCTCGAGAACTGGTGGCAGGTAAGGATACGATGAGCTTGGATCATCTAGCTGTGATGTATATGTTGAGCTTTTATGGGCCCAATTAGGCTCTATATCGTTTTGATGTCTCCCCATCTCAGAATCATCCATCTCATTGCTGCTGATGAGATCGCTAAAAGTGACTTGCTTACTGGGTGTTTCTTCACTTTTAGGCTTCAAATGCATATTACCTGCAAGTTGTGATGGTATGACTTCGGTCGTAGTATTCCTGTAGAATCAGGCATATTAAAGACCGAAAGAACAAAGTTACCCACAATGGAACAAAATCATTAAACAAAGTGAAATCAAGAAAATCGTACGAAAATAAGCAAATATCAGAAAAACAATCAAAAGGTGAACCATGATACAAGAACAAACTGTAGAAAGCATGAACATCCGCTTGCAAAAAAACAAAGTTTATACTCATGGAAACAAATGCTTAACCAGAGAGATCAGCAAATCAACACAAACCAGAATACCACATATGAGGGAGAAAAGAGGAGTAGATGGAGTCCTAATCTAAACTGTGAATTTATGTTTACAACTGCTAGTGCCCAAAAATTAGTCCACAGGTGATCAAGTGTTGCATGATGCTCTTAACAGTTGTGATTTGCCTGCAGCTTTCCAGTTCACAACTATGTTGACAATCTTTATATTGGTCATGCAACTGCAGACAAAGGCTGAGACGATTCCATATAGCTTGATTGGCAAGACTGTCATATGGTTAAATGATGTTAACAAATTTTTCCAGACAGTCATACATTGTAACAAGTGAAAGAGTTAAAAGCAAAGCTAATGTCATACCCCAAGAGAGAGGAAAAACAGATATTTAAATATATCTTTCCAAGCAAATGCCTTGTAAATCATAAGCTAAAACGGGAATGAATTCAATATCCAATACATAACAATGCTGATATTAATCCAACTCCTTAAAAGCAAAAAGAACTGATGACTTCCAGTTGGAATCATTTTGCGCGTCCTTGTTTGAAGCGCACACAGACTTCTCTGAAGCTCATTACGAAGACCCATGAAATGATAACCCCTCACTTCAAATCGCTTCAGCGTTTTAAGCGACGAATCGATGCTTTTAAATTTTAATAACACTGAATACAACTTATCCGCTCAAACGCTCTTTTAATCGTCAAGAAAGTCAAACAATTTCATCTAAATTGGGATAAAGGGAGTCTACTAGAACCAGCAATCTCAATTAACCAACAAAAGGAAATAAAGACAGAATCAACCTATACAAGCACCATGCCTTCACACCAAAAAATAAATAAATAAATAAATAAAAGAGAAGAAGAAGAAGAAGAATCATTCGCTTGATAAGGAAACATACAACTATTGTTTATCCGAAACAAAATTTTGAAGAATTTGAGCTTTCCTAATCTTTTCCTGGGTATCAAATTTACTTTTATGTAATCTATTTAATGGCACATACTATGAATCATTATTTTCATCATTTTCCAAAGAGCCAGAAAAAGTGGTTGGGAAATACAATTTATTTGTGGAAAGATGGGAACATGATTTTGCCATCAATTTCATCCAAAAATGACCAAGCATTTGGAGAAGTCAACGATAACAGAACCCACCGCCAAAAGCAGATGGTTGGAATTGTACATGCAGTTCACAGTAGCAGTCTCCATTTGACCAGGCTCACCTGCTTGTAAGAGGTGAATACCTCCCCAAGTCATCAGTCTCCAGATTTATTGCAGTATCACAGTTTAAACCACTCTGAGAATTCCTCAAGGGATCCCATGCTGTTGTAGTCTGGGGATCTGAAGAAAGAGGAGCCTTTTCACTGGAATATGCTTGTTGTGGTACTAGTTCAAGGCCTTCTTTAATCTGTAAAAGAACATGGGAAGTAAGAAATCCATCGTACATTGGAAAAAGAATTCCTTCAACACGTTATGTCACGGAATATTAGACTTGCCTCAGCAGAACGAGGAGGTGATTGAGCAAAATTTGACAGGTTTATATCTGATCGCCAAGGTGTCATTTGGTACCGAGACTCCTTTAACTTTGCCTACAAAAAGAGTACCTATATATCTTTAAAATGTTCAATTAGGGAAGGGAAGTTTATATCCATGGGACCAGTGGTCAGAACGAACAGAATGGGTACTTCCAGCAAACATACCTCAGTAACAAAGAGCTTCTCTTGTAAATGTCTAAACAGAACCTGCAATATTTTGCTTATTGAGCTAGAAAAATTATATTGGTATTTAGAATGGTTGAGTTAAATAAACTCTACCATACATTCCATCAACACTGTTACAAGTTTGGAAACCATGGTCTTTTTTTAATTACAATTGATACAATCATCAGAATCAATTTTGAACATTATACTTGTTCTCCCCTCTTACTTTGTCAACAAATTACATCTTGAACTTTCACTTTTCTTAACTTCAGGCCAGTTAATGGAAATGAAGATAATATGATGACAAGACTTACTGAAAAAGAAGACGAACAAAGATAAAACTTGACATAGCAGATAGGATAACATGTTTGACCCATGAAATGAGACTATTTGGTGGTCCCTGTCTTATGTAAGGAGTAAGAAAGCTGACAACTTATAGCGCATGTATGCTGCCGTAGGAGTCACAAAGATGAGTCCTAGAGGATTAAAACTATAAAATATTACACCCTCTACTTTCAGAGAACTCTTAATTTGTCCATAAAGATAAATCATTGGGTATTGGAATGAAATAGAACCAACTAGAGTGGAACAGATATAGAAATTCATATATAGCTGCTCCCAACTAACTTCGGATTGAGGCGTACTTCTTGTTGTAACGTGACACTAAGCAGTGATTCCAACTAATCATACAACTTTTGCTGATCTGTGGAAGAGTTAATCAGTTTACACTGCTAATGTAGTATTTGCTTTCACATATAGCATCTGTATGATGCAACCCCTTGGTGCCTTGCATATATTAATTTCCTTTCCTTGTGCATCTGTACAGGGAGTGGCATAGCATTGGTTCCTTTATAAGTGTCTTTCTCATCCAATCCACAGGCGCGCGCACACACAGAGACAGNTAGAATCATGGAATGGGAAAATATTTGCAATAAAAAGAATCAGATAGCAGCTCAACAGCTTTACTGACATGTAACTTGGTACAGCAGGCTGGCCCTGATTATCAAACACAAAATAAGAAAAATTCTAGTCGTGATTCAACAAAGTTGCTGAATATTCAAAAAACTGTGCATGCACCTTTGCAAGAAATTTTTTTTTGTAATTGAGAAATCCCCGAGGAAAGTGGCGCACGGATCAAAATTTGGTGGATAATGGGCATGTCTCTTTACCCTTATCCACCTAAATACCAGGCTTTTGTTTGCGGCAGGGTTCGAATCCTATCACTACATCAAATCGGGCACCTTCCCAAGAAACAATTGGGCTAATCTTCAGAAATTAAGCTCCCGTTTGGCCATAGATTTTGCCTTCAATTTTTCAAAAAAAAATTGAAAACATTATTTCATTATGAAATACGATCATGTTTCGGGGAAAAAAAAATTCAAAAATTTTCAAGTTCCCAAAAACTGGTTTAGGGCAGTTTTTGGGTGAAAATTTGTCTTCCACTCACAAAACTTCAATTTTTCTTCAAATAAAATGCATGTCCAAATGCAGCTTCAACTTTCAAAAATTATTTTTTAACACAACTTCAAAAACTTTTTTTTCAACTTTCAATCAAATCTATGTCCAAACTCTTCAGTATAAAGTATCAAAGCCATAGAACATAAGTTGATCGCAAACAGATAACATAGTATGACTAAAACAAAAACTAGAGAGAGGTAGATAGCTACATGGGTACCTATCTGGGACAGATCCAAATAGAAGAACAAGGAAGGAACATTCAACAAAATATGAGATCACAAATAATTCTTAAAAGCAACATCTTCAACCCCTACTCACCAAGCAGCAACAAGCAAAACCAAAAATTTGGATTACGGGCACTAATGAAAATAACTGATCATATTCTTCTCCATAAGGATTATAAAATCATTAACACACTAATTGATAAACAGAACAAAGCAAAATATGAGTCCCTGTGAATGCACAGGCATACCTGCAGTGCATATGTAAGACGTATATTTTCCTCAATTATGTCTTGTCTGTACGATATCGCTTTAGATGCAGCATCAACAAGATCTTGTTGCTGCTGATCGAAGGCCTATACAAATATTAAGAGCAAATAACCTCGGTAAGTTCAAGGACTAGTAAGAAGATGGATTAATAAACAGAAAATGAGTGGAATCGGTAAGTATGACAGTCACTCTGGCCCACCATGCGCATATAAGCAATTCGCTTTTCCAGAACATATTTCTCGTTGCGAATTTGTGCTTCCTACCAAAAACATAAACCATTCACTTTGACAATGAAATAACAAAACGAAAATGGTATACTAAAAACACAGGCTCTTATTTACCTTGATGGAATATTCAGAAAGATGTTTCCTCAATTGTATAATCTCCTGTTCATGCTCCTGGATCTTCAAAACAAGATCCTAGAATGATACATTACTTATAAATAGGGGGGGACTCAGTATGAATTGTTAGAAGACGAAATTTCATCATAGTGACAGAGAGGGACCTGCTTCATACTGCTGCTAACTTCGGCCACTGGTATCAGACCTTGTCCAGATAAATTGAGCCGTCTGTCATATTCTGCTTCTATTTGATACCTACCTAAGCCAGTCTAATGTCACTATTTCTGTTTGTATCTATGAAGAAAACCGCTGCCTTTATCTCTTTTCTCAAACATTATTAATACAGCAGCAGTAACACGTAACTTGTAATGTCTGCGCCTGGTAAACTGATGTTTAGATGATGAATTGTACTTATGCTAATACCTGTTTGGTGAAAATGATGCCGAAGGTGATGAGAAATGAGAGACGCCAGAATTATCAGTTGTTGTCTGACCACCAGGTAGTGCTCTCAATGTACCATTCACCTTGCTGTATTCGGTGTGGCTTTCTCCCTGATTTTTAAGAGTCAAGTTCAAATCATTTTGCCTGGGATCTTTTGCAAGAATCATATTACTAGACAAATTATGTCCTATACTGTCCATGTATGTAAGTTCAGGAATTTGACTTCCAAAACCCAAAGTTGATGGATGAGCTCCATCAGCCTCATTAAGATGATCCAACTGACCAAGAGAACAAGGAGTTTGACCTTTCAGTTCTCCTGATCTCTGCAAAATGTGGAGACCCCAAATATTATAAGAACCTTGGATACATGAGTGGAATTAAAATTTCTTATCATAAGACTATTGACTATGTTCACATTACACTCTTTCAAAGAGGTGCCGGGTGCACATATTGTATAATTTGATAAGAAGAGGCAAGGAGTCACAGAATCTTATCCGAAGCAGAGTCTTAAAAGTAGAACATCAGCACGACAACGGATTTGGTTAAATATCTACCAAACAAAACTGTGAGTGAAAATAGAAAACTTTGACAAAAAACTAGAACTGGCACATAAAATTAATCCATTTAACTCCTTGATGATCATGTCAGTCCAAGGGATAATATTGTACACATAATTACTATATGTTGACAGTACATAAGACGTACCGAGTTGAAACATTGCTCTAAACAGTAATGACGGGACTTTTTTTACCCAAAAGAAAAGGAAAGTTCTCTTTCATTACTATTTGGAGCAATGCTTTTAAAAAAAAGGTTGTCTGACAGAGAACTCCAAAGCTAGTTAAATACAAGCATATGCTATTTCACTGTATTCATTTTCTTCTAGGGTTAGAGTACACCTAAACCTACAATCTCAGAAAGTGCAACAATATCGATTTAAACACTGTTGCAATTATAACAAACAGTAATTACACATTTTTATTCATTGAAAATGAAGCTAAAAGCTATTCAGCCATCCTCCTTTTCTTTTACAGTTAATTTCTCTTTCCTGTTTGCTGCCTTTTATTTCATTTTCTTTTCCTTTTTTCTAACTGTTGAAGTTAAAGTATATTAACTTCAGCAACAAGAGAGCGCTGCAAAATAAGTACAAGAAGAGGCTACATTACGAATTGAATAATGAGCTCAAGAAGTCAATCATGGCATCTACGTCATTTGCAATAGCCATGTTCTTGTAACACCCACTATCTGAAGCCTATGTGCAGACTTACTCAATGAGAATGAGACAAACTTATTACCACTACAACAACAACAAAAAAAAAAAAAAAAAAAAAAAAAAAAAAAAAAAAAAAAAAAAAAAAAAAAAAAAAATTGTATAGTGCCACAAGTGGGGTATGGGGAGGGTAGTGTGTACCCAGACCTTACCCCTACCTTGAAGGTAGAAAAGTTGTTTTTGATAGACCCTCGGCTCAAGGAAAGATGAAGATAAAGCAGTAGTACCAAGCAATAACAACAAAACTTATTACCAATAATGTCGGAAATACAAAATGACTTTTGTGCTCATATGTTTAAAAGAGATTATGGTACTTGTATAAAAAAAATCAAATACGTAATCCTTGTAAAGGGCAGCCCGATGCACTAAGCTCCTATTATGCGCGGGTCCTGGGAATGACCGGACTACAAGGGTCTATTGTACATAACCTTACCCTGTATTCCTGCAAGAGGTTGTTTCTATGGCTTGAACCCGTGACCTCACGGTCAAATGCGTAATCCTTGTAATTGAAAAAAAGGGAGGGTCTGTAGTGCCTGTACTACTTGTCGTGACTGCACTGAAAATTAGGGGTCCACTTCTATCAATAGGCCCAATGTGGTTTGGCCCTTCCACGGACCACGTGCATAGTGAGATCTTACTGCACCGGGCTGCCCCTTTTTGGTAATGGTAAACCATTATTGAGACATTAACTTTCCCACACTTTTCCAAACTGGCAGATCGAAACTACTGCTGACTTCCATCTTCTGTATAGATGTGATCGTCACAAGAACCAGAATCAGAAAATCGAGTATCCTTTGCAAGTAAAAAGTTGTCTGATCTCCTAGTTATAAATTTGTTATCACATGGGATAATCATTGACAGAAGCAATCTTCGGCAAACACTAGTCAAGAGCTATAGCTAAGATTTCTGTTAACTTATCCTCTTTAACTTAATCCAGGCTATGTATTGCAACTATATTTGCATTGTGTATTGTCTTCCTCCCCCAATCTCCTCATCTGTAAATCAAAGCACTTCGACGATCCATCCACCAAAATACAAAAACAATACATAACTTTAGTCTTAACCACTATCTGCTTCAGTTCTTTGGAATCATACTAACAGTTCTTCTTTTTCTTTCTTTTTTCTTTTTTCTTTTTTTTTCGCTTCAGTGGCTATAGCTAAGATTTCTGTTAACTTATCCTCTTTAACTTAATCCAGGCTATGTATTGCAACTATATTTGCATGTTGTATTGTCTTCCTCCCCCAATCTCCTCATTTGTAAATCAAAGCACTTCGATGATCCATCCACCAAAATACAAAAACAATACATAACTTTAGTCTTAACCACTATCTGCTTCAGTTCTTTGGAATCATACTAACAGTTCTTCTTTTTCTTTCTTTTTTCTTTTTTCTTTTTTTTTCGCTTCAGTGGCTATAGCTAAGATTTCTGTTAACTTATCCTCTTTAACTTAATCCAGGCTATGTATTGCAACTATATTTGCATGTTGTATTGTCTTCCTCCCCCAATCTCCTCATTTGTAAATCAAAGCACTTCGATGATCCATCCACCAAAATACAAAAACAATACATAAATTTAGTCTTAATCACTATCTGCTTCAGTTTTTTGGAATCATACTACAGTTCTTTTCTTTTCTTTTTTCTTTTTTTCGCTTCAGTGGATCCTTTTCTTCCATCACCAAAAAAATTTTGTGTGATAATTTATCCAAGTTAACCAAATTATTTTAATGAATGCTACTTTTTAATTAAATCGTGGTGTATGGGTTAGCTTGTGCACACCTCGACTAACTGCTACCACCCACCAACACAGGTATAACTCAGTCCATCAAGGTTTAGGACACCTATTATTTTTATTTTTTTTGCCTCTGTTGGGATTTTAACCTGAGACCTTATGGTTCTCAACCCATTTTATTGGCCATTAGGCACACCCTTGGGTGCAATGCTAGTTACAACCTTAAAACAAATAGATTAATGATCTAGCAGCATGTTCTCTGTCCATGGAAGTTACATTTAACAATTCCTTAAGGGGTAAAATGATCATATATAAGCGGCAGAGAGAACCTAATCGGCATAGATGACGTGCTAACTGCTATTGACATGTGCAACAACTATTACCAATCCTCAATCTCAAGCAAGTTGAGGCCACAAGCTCAAATTTATAGTCTACAAAATGTTGCACAACCATGTATACCCTGACTGTATAATGATACTACCTTCTGCAATTTCAGAGTTGAATTATTCAACTTAAAAGTGAAGCTAGATGGTCTGCTTTATGAATTGCTACCTTTAAGTAGAAGTATGGAGCAGCTAGCAATAGCTGCCACCTTTTTATCAGCTGTTAGATCCGTACGATCAAATATAGTGGGAATATAGGTAATGTCACTAAACATGTGTAAGTCTAGCAAAGGGCACTACATACATAATGTTGAAGTGCCACAAAAAGTGATGCTCTGCATTTGCAGGTAACAAACAAAAAATTGGATTGCAGTGAAGGCTACAAGTGGAAGGGCAATAGAAGATAATAGATAGCCAGCATAATGATATTCAGAATTTTTCATATTCTGGAACCAAATAACGTAAAGCATAAGACAACTTTGGTCCACAGAGTAACCACTGATCTGATTATTACTTACAAATTTTTCAACTTCCAGAATCTTCTTTTGAAGTTCTGCTCTTAATCGATTGTTCTCGTCAACCTGTAAAAGAAGAATACAGATAGGATCAGCAGACAGTCCTCTTCTCTTTGTGTGTGTGTGTGTGTGCATTTTTTCATTTTTTTAATAGTAAAATCAATTAACAGCCTTAGATATCATCAAGAGCCCACATCCCATTATTGAAGCAGCCACAAAGCAAAAAGGATTCATACGTGACCAGTTATGAACACAAGAACGAACCATTCCATCTCCTTCACACTGCAAGTTTTTGATATTCAGCTAATTGTCCAAAAGAAGAAAGAAAGAAAAGAGGAATTAAACATCCGCAGACGAATTTCCAAAATTTTAAAGCACTGTTCTTCTTGATTCCCATGGCCACCTCCAGTTCCGTCCTAACATCCTGAAGTGATATATGTGTATGTAATAATAGCAGTAATAATTGGTAATAGTTCAGCAATCATCCTTGACTACTACTTTATTGCGCACACTAGCTTCTTTTGAGATGACAGAAGGCAGGTAAATGATACTGGAAAATCCAGAAAGTCCTCTTAAAGCATGAGGAAAACAGTAATAACAACAAACCCAGTATACTACCACAAATAGGGTTCGAGGAAGGTAGTGAGTACGCAGACATTACCCCTACCTCGAAGGTAGAGATGCGGTTTCCGATAAACCCTCGGCTCAAGGAAAGATGAATAAAACAGCAATAGCAACAAGCAGTAACAACAACAAGATAATAAGAAACCGAAGCAAAAGGAACAGCATGTAAAATAGAAATCTAACAATAATAGAATACAAGACTAACACTAATACTAATGGTATGGGAAATAAATACTCTCGACTACCTACTAGCTTTCTACCTTAATCCCGACCTTCACACCTTCATATCAAGTATCATGTCCTCAGTAAGTTGAAGCAACGCCATATCCTGCCTAATCACCTCTCCTCAATACTTCTTTCGCCTACCTCTACCTCTTTGCAGACCCACCAAGGTCAACCTCTCACACCTCCTTACTGGGCATCTATGTTGCTGCTCTTCACATGCCCAAACCCTCTAAAGTCTCGTTTCCCGCATCTTGTTCCCCACCAGAGCCACTTCCACTCTGGCCTGAATATCTCAACATCCTCATTTCTGCTACTTTCATCTTCTAAACATGGGAGTTCTTGACTAGGCCAACACTTTACCCCATATAACATAGTCAGTCTAACAACCACACTATAGAAATTACCTTCAAGGTTAGGTGGCACATTCTTATCACATAAAACACCGGATGCGAGCCTCCATTTCACCCACTTCGCTCCAATACGATGTGTAACATCCTCGTCAATCTACTCATTTCCTTGGATAATAGACCCAAGATACTAGAAACTATCTCTCTTAGAAATGAATTGTGTATCAAGTCTCGCGTCCACGTTCGCTTCATTGGTCACATCACTGAATTTGCACCCAAATATTCTGTCTTGGTCCTACTCAACTTGAAACCTTTAGACTCCAGGGACTGCTCCAAAACTCCAGTCTCGCATTAACACCGTCTCGTTTCTCGTCAATCAGTACAATATCATCCACAAATAACATACACCATGGCACCTCGCATTGAATGTGGCGCATCAGTGTGTCCATCGCCAAGGCAAATAAAAAAGGGCTAAGAGTTGACCCCTGGTGGAACCCCATCACAACTGGAAAGTGGTTTAAGTCCTATCCCCGCTATCTTCACCGGGTTTTAGCTTCATCATACATGTCCTTAATCACCCTAGTGTAAGCAACAGGAACACCTATAGTCTCCAAACAACTCCATGAAATTTCCCTAGGACTTCATCGTATGCTTTCTCTAGATTAATGAACACCATATGCAAGTTTGTCTTTCTCTCCCTATGCTACTACACCAACCTCCTTACAAGATGAATGGTTTCCATAGTTGAACGCCCTGACATGAATCCAAACTGGTTTTCGTAGATAAGCACACTCCTCCTCACTCTCGCTTCCACCACCCTCTCCCAAACTTTCAAAGTGTGGCTTGGCAGCTTAATACTCCTATAGTTGTTGCAATTTTGGACATCATCTTTGTTCTTGTACAATGGAATCATCATACTCCACCTAATTTTTCAGGCATAAACAACCCAGTGAGTCATTCCAAATCTGCCCTGCTCGCGCTCTTCCAAAATTCCACCGGAATTTCGTCTGGCCAGGTCGTTCTTCCCTTGCTCATCTTATGCATATGTCATAACCCTCTCAATGTCCTCAATTTTAATACGCTGACAATAACCAAAATCTCGACAACTCTCAGAGTGCTCCAAATCACCCAACATAATATCCTTGTCCCCCCCTTCATTAAGGAGTTTATGGAAGCATGTCTGCCATCTACGTATAATATGTGTGTCTTCCATCAATACTCTGCCTTCAGCGTTTTTGATGCACTTCACTTGGTCTAGGTCACGGGCCTTCCTTTCTCTCACCATGGCTAACTTGTACAGCTTCTTGTCCTGACCTTTGTCTCTAAGTTCTTTATACAAACGTCCAAACACTGCAATCTTAGCCGCCGTAATCTCTAATTTTGCCTCCTTCGTGGCCTTCTTATACCACTCCCTATTCGTCCTCTTCTCCTCCTCTTGATGAAAGATTTCTGGAATTTTTCCAGTTTTTAAAAATTGGAAAAACTTTTCAGAAGTTTTTTCTAACCAAGCACGGCTAGAGAAATTTTTTTTAGTTTTGCTAAAAGTGAGAAACTACTCCAGAGGTGTTTTTTAAGTTTTTGCAATAATTGAAAAGCTCTTTCCCAATGGGGTCTGGTCAAAAGATTTTTCGAAATAATCTTTAGAACTTTCAATAAACAAATGGCTAATTAACTCAAGATTTTATTTTTATAATGGTGTTTGGGCCAGTTTGTGTGCACCTCGACTAATTCCATAAAGTACCTCCTACCTCTCATGTATGTTGTTCGCTGATGATATAGTTCTGATCGATGAGTCGCGTAGCGGTATTAATGAGAGACTGGAGGTGTGGAGGCAGGTTCTGGAGTCCAAAGGTTTCAAGTTGAGTAGGACCAAGACGGAATATCTGGAGTGTAAGTTCAGCGGCGTGTCGGGGGAAGCGGACGGGGTGGTGAGGCTCGGCTCACAAGTCATCCCCAAGAGAGAAAGTTTCAAGTACCTAGGGTTTATTATCCAGGGAGATTGACGGGGATGTCACGCACCGTATTGGGGTGGGGTGGATGAAATGGCGGTTAGTATCTGGAGTCCGGTGTGACAAGAGGGTACCACTGAAACTCAAAGGTAAGTTCTACAGAGCGGTGGTTAGGCCGGCTATGTTATATGGGGCTGAGTGTTGGCTAGTTAAGAATTCACATATCCAGAAGATGAAAGTAGCCGAGATGAGGATGTTGAGATGGATGTGCGGGCATACTAAACTGGATAAGATAAGGAATGAAGATATTCGAGAGAAAGTGGGCGTTGCTCCCGTGGACGACAAGATGCGGGAAGCGAGGCTTAGGTGGTTTGGACACGTGCGGAGGAGAACCATAGATTCCCCGGTTAGGAGGTGCGAGCGGTTGGCTTTGGCAGGTATGAGAAGAGGTAGAGGGCGGCCTAAGAAGAATTGGGGCGAGGTGATCAGGCAAGACATGACGCAACTCCAAATTTCCGAGGACATGACTCTTGATAGGAACGTGTGGAGGTCGAGCATTAGGGTTGTAGGCTAGGGGGTAGTTCATAGTTTCTCCCTCTTTGTACCGAGTAGTCTGATAGAGTTTTGCCTATGTCTGGTAGCGGTCTATGTTGTGTTCACACTATTTTGTTGTTTTGCATATGATTGTATTATTGCACTCCCTTTCACTTATTTGGTGTATTTTAAGACATTATTACTTCTCTTGCTTCTTTTGTTGTTACAGATCTCTTCTTTCGTTACTTTTCTGAAATTATTATCTCTTCTGTTGAGCCGAGGGTCTCCCGATGACAGTCTCTCTACCCTTCCGGGGTAGGTGTAAGGTCCGCGTACATCCTACCCTCCCCAGACCCCACTAGTGGGATTATACTGGGTATGTTGTTGTTGTTGTTGTACCTCCTACCTCCCACCAGCATAAGTATCAGTAGGGGTGTCAAAACCATTCTAAAAACCGACCGAACCTAACTGTACTGATTATTAGGTTTTTTGAGTAAAAGCGTAGGTTCCAATATAAATTTATAACCTTATTAAAATTAGAGTAGGTTTTTTAATATAATAAAGAATAGCGCAAAAAATACTGAACCGTACCAAATAAATTTATATGTATAAAATATACTTTATATGTTAAGTTCATTAATATTTTAGACTTGAACCTTGGGCCTTGGGGTAGATTCAGATGGAACAACTATAAGATACCCAACCTACCCTACAACTATTAAAACAAAGGTATTATACATTATTTAAGCTTTTCCCAGCGGCAATTGTCGGCAAAAAGCAAAGATATCTTCTTTCTGTTTCTCCTCCTTTTTTAGATTCTTTTCCATTGATTTGTGAACTATTCCGATGATTCATCCTAATAAAAACAAACATTCAATAGTTTGGTCATAATCAATTATTACGATTTGCTAGAATTTTTCCCCATAGAATTTACATGCTTGAATTTGCAATGTACTTGTTATATTACTTCTTAGCTTTATTAATGATAATTAGATTGAAGTTCGAAAGGGAAAAGGAATGACGCTTGGTAAGTTCTATTTTCACTAGCATGTTTGGTCATATGCTCACGTGTAACTATTTGTAAGGATAGAATCACTGTTGTATGTGCAAAAACTTTGATAAATTGCCCAAGAACATATGATAGCAAACTGCTTCTAGTATAAAAAAAATCTTTGAGTTTAGTGGCACAATTTATATGGAATTCTCCATATTTTGTGGAGAAATATATACTTCATGCGTTATATTAAAGCTTATTATTATTTAATATAATGAATTAGATATTCGTAGGACTCTTAGATGACACTATAAAAAAGGTACCGATATCGAAGAGAAACAGATATGATTGGTACGGATTTGAGAAGTTTAATTTTCGTTATGCATAATAGAGTAACCAAAAAAATGGTATGATATAATTTTTAAAAAATAACTGCCCGGACTGTACCATTGACACCCCTGAGGTGACTTTGTCTACCAAGGCCTAGACAGTTACACAAAGGCTCCCCTTCACCAAGGCCTAGACGGATTGGAAGAAATAACCTAGTAATCCACTGGTATTTGAACCTGAGACCTCATGGTTCTCCACCCACTTCATTGACTATTACGTTACACCTTTGGATGCCTAATTAACTCCAGAATTTTATTTTTTATTTCTTTTATGAAGTTAAACTCCGGAAATGTTTTACCTAGAGTATAATTTGATTTGTCATAAAATCATTTATCTCTAAGCAGTACTTAAAGTCCCAGCTCTAGGGACTACATGTCCAAAAAACCGTGTTTTCAGTAAATAAAAAACTTATTTATATAGTAGCTCAAAGACATTTCACTCGTTAATATTGTACAGACAGATGTTTAATCTAAATGCTATAGCACGGATAATAAGCTAGATGTCAGTTAAAAAGATCCATACAAAATAAAAATGAATGCAATGTTTTCCAACAACGTTATTAAACCTTTCAATTTTCCCCTTTGTAATTACAACCACTCTTCTTTATCAAAAAAATTACAACCACTCCCTTATCCCAATTTATTATTAAGCTATTTGATAAAGTATGATATGAGAATACCCTGGCTTATGATCTGAGAATACCCTGGCCATTGCAATTTGCTTCACATCCTTAAACACTTCACTCCACTCAGTAAAGATAAAAAACCTTTCAATTATACAGGCTTGATCCTCCCCTCTTGACCATGTGAATTGTGCTCCCCGTAAAGCATGGTCAATAACAGTAGCTTTAGTACATGAGTTAGTATTATTTGTGTATTTACGTATTCCTTGACTTCGATGATTACTTGTTGTGCTTTCGTTTCGGCTTTCTGATCGCAGTACTTAGTTTTAGTTTTGTATTTTTGCTTCAGTTTTCTAATTGGTATGCTTGTTCCTGCTCTTCCTTTTACTTTTCTTTAGCCGAGGGTCTACCAGAAATAGCCTCTCTGCCTTCTTGAAGGTAAGGGAAAGGTCTGAGTACACACTACCCTCCCCAGACCCCACTTGTGGGATTACACTGGTTTTTTGTTGTTGTTATTGCTATTTGATAAAGTATGTTGTTATGGATTCACTTGTGGCAAGGAAGACCTTTGATAAGAAAGATCTTTGATTTTTCGACTTGTTATAAAGGAAAATCTTTTGAATTTATTTAAAATTTTAACTTTAAATTCCTTATGGCCTTTAAATGGACAATTTTTAGTATGGAAAAACCCCTGATTTTTTGTTTGTGATCATGTAATTTCACTTTAGAGTTTCGAGTTCCTTATAACTTATAAGCTCTATAAAAAGGCCGTTGTTGTTACAATCTACAAGCAAAGATCAACAATTCCCACCCCATTCCTATTCTTCTCTCTCATAATACCATAATTAATAACCCGCCTTACCTATCTCTCTAGCATTTCCTGTCTATTTAGTTTCCTGTAGGCATGTAATATCAACTCTCCTTTTTAGGGTATCCACTAATTCCATCGGCTTGCCTGTCAAAGCACCAAAATTTAACTAAGTACCAGCACCTAATGGGGATTAGAACACGTGACCTCGCTCAAGGCTTGAAACCACTTGACCACCTTTACAAAGAGAGAGTATACCTATATAGCCTCTAAATTCTAATGAGCAAGAACTACTGATCAAAAAAAAATTCTAATGAGCTAGAACTACATTGAAGTCAATTCTTTAATGATACATCAGAAGAACCAAACATGTATGTCCCTCTAAGGTAAACTCTGTAAATATTCAAGCTGACAACATGATGAGCCAAAAGATACAACAACAATTACGTCTCAATCCCAAGCTAGTTGGGGTTGACTATATAAATCCACTCAATCCATTTCACTCCTTTTGGACCGATTTCATTCCAATACTGAATGCTCCATTAACCAAAAGATAAGTAAATAAATAAAATTATGATGCCGCATGGTAGGAAACAACACAAAGATCCTTCCTTTCTCCATTACATAACAACCCAAGTACTGTTTTACGAAAACTTCAAAACCCAGAAACTCTTTTCATCCCTTTTTGGACAAGTATACAACCGTTTTTTCACATAACTAGACACCCTTCAGTATGGAACTTTTTGATTGATATACATTCTGATGTCTTTTGGGGGAGGATCCGTTACTATAAACTGTAAGCAAAAGAAAACTATACTAGGAGACCTACCCTGAACAGGATCAGCACCCAGATATAGTAGCATTACAACCACAACAAGATACAACTCAACAGAACCATGGAATATTTCACACTATATGCTAATTGGACAGGACAATGACTGATGTATCATTTATCTATCTCTAGACTACCTTTTTGCAATTCATTTTGCAAAACATGGCATAGGTTGTTTAAAAAGGACTAGAGTTATCCATCTTGGACAGGACAAAGATATAGGTCTAGGACAACAGCTTTATCTAATGCCACATTCAACATTGTCTTTCAAAATCCTACTGGTATGATTGAAGTTCATTTGCAGCTTATGTAGCTTCTATTTGAGATACACAAGATAGCTTTTTTAAAGATTACACCTGCTACCGTAAGTCCATAACTATGGAAATTTACACTTGCATTGAATACAATAGAGAGAATAGAATACACATATGCAAGAACAAAAATTTCAACTTGCTAGAATTTAACCCTTGATAAGCTCCAAGAAAAGTGCCAACTTGCTAGAATTTTTTAACTCCTTGAAACCTCAAAATGATATTAGAGTCTCCCCCATCGCCAATTTAATATCTAATATTACTTAGCCAAATGCAGGCAGCTTAAAACCATCAAACAATCTAGAAATCAAAAACTAAAATTACAACGTTCCAAACAGACTCATCATCAGAATAATTAAAACCCACATTCAGGTGGGGGAAGGAGTAGCAAACCTGTTGCTTAATGGTGGCTTCAGCAGCTTCAACTGCTTTCAAAACCTGAAACAACCCGTCATTGTTCTTTGGAACATTATTTGAATCATTCAAATTCAATCCCACAAGTTTAGGCACCAAAGTGTCTCCTCCATTTTCCATATCTCTCTCACTCTCTTTCTCCTCCCTCAACCTTCAACACTTATCTTCTTCACTATCAAAAAATCTCTATCAGAAAATGGTATAATAAGAACAACATAATCCATACAATTTTCACCCATGTATATTTACAACCCTATTCCCTATAATTTCAAGAAAATAACATAAATGAAACAAAACCCCAATACCCATATAAAATAAGTTAATAATATATTAGGAAACAAAAAGTACCTCAGTTCCCTATTGAATACATCGAAGTAGGGGAAAATAAAGCTGATAATAATGGGGGAATAGGTAAATAGATACAGGAAAAGTAGAAGAAGAGAAGACGAAGACTTGGATGGTGGTTCGGTGGAGGGTGGGGTGATAGTCTTGTGATTGNTCTTTTGGATTCTTGCCCGAAACGAAGTTAACTCAGAATTTCCGCCTACTTGCTACGTATTATTTTTTTCTTTTTATTTATACTACTTTTATTATTGTATTAGTATCGTGATTTTTTCTTCTTTTATTTTCTTTTTCTTTTTCGCGAGAATACTACAGCGTAGGGGTAGCTGTTATAATTATGACGAGATTTTATTAAGCAGACAACTTTTATTATTTATTTGTTTTATTTGTTTGTTGGGTTACTTTTTTAATGTGTGAATTGCAAATTTGGTCCTTGAAGCTTAACAGTGTACTTATACTTGGTCATTTGATATTTTCATATTGAAAAATGTACACTTAGGTCGTCTGAATCTTAATAATTCAGATTTCAGACACTAAATGCATTTATTTTTTAAATCTTAATCATTAAGTGTGTTATTTTTTTTTCACTTAATAAATCTGAATAGGTCTGTATGATTAAAATCTATAATAGACACTTAATTTTATTAACATGCTATTATCCATATTCATTATTAATTGTCGTCACCGCCTACTATTATCAACTACCATCATGCTACCACCCCCACCATACTCAACCATCATCATCATCACACTACCATCATTCCCAATCATAGACGCCATCACTATTGACTATCACCACCCACCATCCCCACCACTCTCAGCACTATCATTCTCAACCACAATCAACACTCATCCATCTCAACTACCACAACTAACCATCTAATAACCATCAACAGCAACAGTTGGCACTGCTCATCATTATAACCTACCAACACTCATCACCACCTTTCTCAATCACAACTACCACCACCACCTTCCATTATTAACTAGCACAACTCACCACCACCATCCTCAATCATAACCGCCACCACTAACAATCACCAGTAGCTACTACCCTAAACCACCATCATCAACCAAAACTACCACCGCCTTTAATCGGCATTCACCAGTCATCACCACTAATAGCTATCATATTTTTAAAAATTATATATTTATTGATAGATATTAGATTGATTAATATTTTATTTGAATTTTATGTTTATTAATTTTCAAAAAGATAAATTTTATACATTCAGATATTAAAAATCAAACAATCTTAATCATTTAGTATTCGGATCTTAATACACATCTTAATATTCAAATGTGTATTCAGATTCAAATGTCTTAATCTTAATACATATCTTGATATTCAGATGTGTATTCAGATTCAAACGTCTTAATCTTTAAAAAAACAAATGAGGCATTAGGTCTCATTTGTTTGCACTTAATGGAAGTGTGAATTTTAATTATTCATATATCAGTCATTAAGTGCATTTGTTTTTTAGATCTGAATTTTAATCATTCAGATCGTAACCATTAAGATTGTTTATTTTTTTTAATTTTACAACCACTTGATGGGTCTGAATAGATCTTAATGATTAAGATCTTCGCTTTACAAATCTTGCACCCAAATTTCTTAACTTTTAACAAAACCACATACCATCCTTGTTCCCTTTTCTTCTGCTCTATAATGGCAAAGACTTCCAAAACAGTACCACAAAAGAAGGTCGCCTCTTCTTCACGGCCCGCTGGCAACGGAGCGGCGGCGGATTATCCCCTTGAGGATTTCATTCCGGGAGGGTGTCCTACTATCGTCGATTTTAGGATTGAAAAGACCTCCTCAGTTCCTGGTCGATGTGAACCGGTCTCGAGGTACATATGCACGATAACCGACGATCTCCTTCTAGAGTTAAATAGGATTATCATTGGGTTGATAAACATGTCGTGGTACTTTCGCCCGAAGAGTCGATCAATACCCACGTGGAGGGTTTCTTAAGTGTTTACACTTACCCTTTTACGTTGGGTCCCTTAGACCCTATCATCGACGCTTTCTACAAGAGGTATAACGTGACCCTCGGCCAAATCCATCCATCCTTCTGGAGAATAGTGATTCTCCTCCGATTTTTCTTGAGCAAAATCGAGGGATGTCCTTTCACCCTCGATCACCTTATGCGTCTTTACAGTCCTCGACTCTATCGAGAAGGGCTGATTAAGCTTGCTCGTCAGGCAGGTAAGGCCCCGTTCTCGAGCATAGACAAATCTCAAGACCGAGGTTGGATGGGCCGATTTGTCCGAATAATGACTTTGAACCTGATCCCTGCTGAAGACTTGTCATTTCCTGAAAAATGGAACATGAATCGTAAGCATTACCCTTGAATGTCCAACTTTGTTATTTTACTTCTTATTTTCTTTCCTCGTCTATATTTTTGGTGTTGCAGCTGTGGCCCATGTGCGGAAGTAGTCCTCGATCTCAAGCAATGGATCGAGGGTCTAGTGTCGCAGAGACCATACTCCGAGCGTGCTTGGACGGAGTTATCAAAGGGTCGATGGGAGGCCTGTAATCATGTTTATTTTCTTTCTCAGAACGGTTATCATTTGGCGATTCTTTTCGAGTTTACTCATCTTTTTTCCTTTATAGGCCTCAGGAAGGATGAAGCAATGACGAAGAAGAAATCCTTCCCTAACCACCTGCTCCAAAGCGCGCCAAAGAGAAGAAGAGAAAAGGGGCTCCGAGTTATACGGGCTCGGAAAAGAAAAGATCGGTGAGGAGGCCCCGCAAGCCTAAGGGGGACACCGGTGCTATGCTTTCGGACTCGATCCGCCTATTAAGGGATGAATCCGAAAAAGAATAAGTGGATAATAGTTCCAAACTGGTGGCCCGCGTATGGGTCGGTGTCACTGTACAGAAGTCCTCCGAACCAGAGGAGGCTGATAAGGGAGCCTTGGGAAAAGTTTTAGAACCAGAAAGAGCTGAGGCCACTCCGTCCCAAGCTGAGATGGTCGATGGAGAAACTAGGGCCGAGTCTTCCCGAGTAGATGAATCCCGAGGTACGATCTCAAAATGATTGACATTTTCGAATCCCCTCAATTTTTGGACGCCATGATCCATGAGGCCAATATGTTGGAAGGCCGCTCTTGCGAGGGTCCTCAAGGGGTGATTGATATCCACGGCTTCTTAAATGGGGTAGAGTTCACCAATTTGGGAGATGTCACCGGGCTTGGTGACTTATCGGTGCCAAAGAAAGCACCGTCATCGGGTGCTACTGGGTCTTCATTGAGCCTAAAACTAGTGGATCGATTCCCTGCCCCAAGTGTTAACCCTGATCACAGGCATAATATAGTGTTTTCTATCTCGGAGGATGCCCTGGTCTTCTCTCCCCTCATGGGGATTGCTAGCTACCTCAGATGCTTGGTGACTGAGGAAGACCAAGCCGTGATGAATGCGGGGGGAGCCGCTTGCCTGTTCAACAATGCCCACCATGCTCTAAATCGGGTAATTTCGAGGGCCATTCCATTATCTCTTTTAAACTTAGAGTTTTAGGTAATTCTAACATCCTTTTCCTTGTTTGTGGCTTCGGTGTTGCATCACAAGGCTTTTCTTCGAATTCAGGTGGAGCACGAGGCTGAGGTTCGAGACTTACTGAGAAAAATGGCACTTACAAGCTTCTAAGTGAGAAGCTTCAGGTAGATTTAGTGACAGCTCGGGATGAGCATGCTGAGATGGCCGAGCAGGTATTCCGAGTCCTTCAGTGAAGATGAATTGGAGATAATAACTAACGATCTGATTCTACAGGTCCGGCAGAGGCTCGAACAAATCGGGGAGCTTCATAAACAAGTAGAGACAATTCGAGCTGAGGCTGAGGAGTTCAAGAAAAATATGGACATCTTAGCCTCAAAAAGGGAAGCTGCCCAAACACAACTGGAGTCGGTTGAGATCCAACTTCGAGCTACAAGAGAAAAGGCCTCAGTGCAAGCCAAGAAAGTCGAGGAGCTTCAGTCCCAATTAGAAAACTTGGCCAATGAGCTCGAGGCGGCTAAATATGATGTGGCTACGGCCAACACCAAGGCTCAAGCTAATGTTACCCAATACAAGGTCGGCGTATAGGCCATCCAAGCGCATGCCAAAATCATGGTGGATCATGCAAAGTGGCAAGCTTGAAGGGAAGCCCTCGAGGGAGTCCATGCTCAGGGCTTTGATATATTGGCTGAGCTCGAGAACGCCAAAGCAGAGGAAGACAGGGCTCGAAAGGTAGCCTTTCCTGAGGAAGACTCAGATAGCTTAAGTAAGTCTGAAGGCGGGGAAGATCCCGAGGGTAGAGATGTTGCCTCCGATGAAGATCAAGCCATTTAGGCCTTTGTATTTTTTGCTTTCCCTTTGCATCTTTTTTAGGACATTTCGGCCAATGTAAATTTTTTTGAATTAAACCATTTTGGCTTTTGTAAAAATCATTGTGTAAAAGTATACAAGGCTTTTTTCCCTTTTGGCTTTCGAATTTTTCCTTTGCTTTATTACTTGAATTCACAAAGGTTGGGATGCCTTAGCATAAAATAGCTTGGGGTGTGTAAGTTTGAAAAACCTTACCTTTACATTATTTTTGTTTTTCAGTCATCTTGGATGTTCGGGGTTATCTAGAACCTTATCCAAAGTAAGTAACTCAAACCATAGTTTGCCGAGGGTAGCCTTTAAAAGGTTATGAAAATTTCGAAGGCCTATTTTTTGTTACGGTTCTCGGACGTCTCCGAGCCGTGTTAATGTGGTCGTAGCCTTTTAATTCGGGTGTAACCCAGTGAGCTTGCTTTCCCGAGTTATCCAGGCTTGCCTAAGATAATAGTCCCCGAGTGAGTATGGTCGTGGCCTTTAAAATTTGGGGGTTGCCTTAGAGGTCTTATGCCCTCAATGCTCAATAGTTCGATCTGTTCGAGTTTGTTTTTCGGACGGCAATCCCCGAGTGTGGGGGTGATTATTCGAACTCTAGTTATAATCGGCCCTTGAGCTCATTTCCATAAGAGATCGAAAGTACGAAATTGTAAAGTAGAAAAAACATTTCTAAGACATAAGGTAATTGTAAGGGAAATACTTCTCTTTATTCTTGTAAAAAATGGTTACGCACGCGTACATGTTTTATGCCAGGGCTCGATCAACCTATTTAGGCACGGTTCGTTTGACCGTT